CGTCATACATTTTTAAATTAGAGGAGGAAAGCGGGGAAGAAGACGTTGTGGAAGAGGACGCCAGGGCGGCAGAAGCTTGGTTTGGTGTTGAAGGCTTACAGCCGTACATGTTTGAGCCCTTGCCTCGTAACGCTGCCAGTTCTGTTAGCTCTACGCCTGCTGAAGACACAGACGTCCATCCCCGTGAACACTGGGACGGAACTTAATGGTTGAGTAAATGATTCTTATTTCAAACGTTGCGTATATTAGCTGCAACATATGAATCAAGATGCTATGACTGAAAAAATTTGATTGACAGATAATCGTTGATATATGATTGGCCAAATTTAGGTGGACAAGCTGACGTATAACTAACTGGCCTATATAAGATAATGAAATAATATAAATTTTGGAACATTAAAGTCGGATAAAGAGACTATTTATTTACATGTTTAGGCCAGAATGATTTGACATTTAAATATGACTTCCCTACGACTTTAAATTACTGTCTGAAAGCTGTGCTAAATGAAATGTTTTGTATAAACTCTGTGTATATAAAATGACAATTAAAGTTGTCTAAGTCTAAATCTTTACATTTTATAACAAAAAATATATACACTTTCTTCAGCTTCACAACTTTGCACCCCTTTGCGTTCGTCTATCTCATGAAACCTACATTCTAGATGTTGAGTTTGTCTCATGATCAATCAAACTGTATCAGTACCTTTTAAATGTGCTGTATAGAATAGAAAAAATAAGCTTAAAAAAAAAAAGAAGTAGATGAGGGGCATTCAAGTCAAATGAAACAATCATTACCTGTCCATTGATTTCCTGAGTCTCCAGGTCTGAGATGGCTTTGTCCTCAGCCTGCTTCTTGTTGCACTGCATTTGAAAAACAATCAGCATTTAAGGGCTTTTCCTAAACAACTGAATGAAACAGTTTTAATCAGAGTCTTACCTGTTTGGTGCAGTTTTCACACTTCTCCTTCCGCTGTGAGATCTTTACCTCTGACATTTTCCCTGTCATCTACCTGGGAGGGAAGATTCAGAAATGGGGAAACAGAAGCATGAACTTATTTCCTGGCAGCCTGTTTTCTAATGAAGTGAAGCCTGAAATCTGCTGAGGCTGTTTCTGTTGGGAGCTCCACCCCCCCTCCTATCACCACAAACCAGCTTATCAGAACCAGAACAGCCTTTTAAAGCCGGGAAAACTCTGAATAAACACGATCCATCATCACCTTCACGTCAAACACACACAGGGATTACATCACAGCAGGCAAACAGGGTTAAAGTCTTAAAGTGGGACAAACCTCCTCTTCTTTAACCCAAAACAACAACAAAAAACATTGACTTTAGCTCAGGTAATGACTTTAAAAGCAATAATGCGTCACATTGATTGACCCTTTACAAACCTCTAATTTAGGCTGTAGCTAACAGGGTGGTTTAATCCGATATATGCCGCCTAAACTAACGTTAATGTTTATTTAAAGCTAAACTGTTTCCGAGCTGAATTTAAAACTCACCGGACGGTAGCACTTCTGGACAAAGAGGTGAAAAAGGACAACTAGCGGGAGAGGGAAGGCTGCCGCACCGACAGCGTTTCTGAGCTCAACTCAAGCCGAACTCTGTCGCTCTAACCCGGTATGAGGAAACGGAAACAGTCGCTGTCGACCTCAACCTCGCTGGGTCTATTTGCTCTTGAATTAAAGTAACTGTTGCCCGACAGGGCTTCCTATGTAACTCGCCATTCGTGTCTATGTACATCCACCTCCATTGTGTGCACCCGGACGGGCCTTGGCGCATGCGCACAAGAGATTTTAAACTCCGGAAGCTGCGACAGAAGAACTTCCAAAATAAAGGTCAGACTCAATTCAATTCAGTTAATTTATATAGCGCCAATTCACAAAACATGTCATGTCAAGGTTCTTTACAGTTCACCAGATCATACAGTCAAATTTATTCAAAGTTTTCTATCTAAGGAAAACCAGTTGATTGCATCGACTCATTGACTCAAATGCAATCCCTCACACTAAGCATGCATGTAGCAACAGTGGAGAGGAAAAACCCCCTATTAACAGGAAGAAACTTCCAGTAGAACCAGGCTCAGTGTGAGCGGCCATCTGCTGAGGCCGACTGGGGTTCAAGGAGACAGAAGCAGAGAAACAAAAGGCAACTGTAAAAGGCAGCCCGGTCCAGGAAACACACAGCCAGGCAGACCAGCTCTGAGCCAGCTCTCATGTCAGAGGATGAAAAGAGCACATCCAGTCAGTCATGGTCAGAGAAACAGGACTACACTGAAAAACAGGCTGATCTCCAACATCTATAAACAAAGGTGTTGATAGCAGCAGCACAGCAATCAAACAATCAGTCAATCAAAATGAAAAAGTATATACCTGCACAGTAACAATGCCAGTTGGTGCATCAACCATTATGTTGTGGTTTTATATGTATTTTTTATTTTTTGTAAAATATACAGGGACAAATATAAGTGATGATAAAAAAGATTTGAATAATATTTGCCTAAAAAGTGATGAATAACCTCAAATAGTGCATAGACTTTTTGGACTACTGCTCAATACAAGTGCTTTTCAGCCTTTATTTTGAAAGGTATCCTGGCTGGAGAGCTCATCCAATGAGAGTTCAGGAAACGCGGAAGGAAGAGTCCCTCATTCATGACTGTTGTTGCGACAACATGAATACAACTTCCTCGTAATGCTGTAATTCGTATGTTTCATCGTGAAAATTATCTTCTCTTTAAATCTACAAGGTGAAAGTTTACAGGGAAAAAAAGGATTTTAAGGTAAGAAATCATAAGAATATAAAAATGAGCGCATTTGTTGCCTTGTTTGTGATGATGAATTAGAGAATAAATCAGCCCCTTACATGCATCATTTTTCATTGTGGAAAATAAAAATCAATATATTGGCATCTTTATCCAGTTTCAGCTGCGATTCAAGGGTCAGATCATCCAGGAAGGAAGAAAAATATGGAAAAGCATAAATGTTTATGTTTTCTCATCTTAAATTGTTATAGAAAACAAATAAAAATAGACGTTTTCTGTTTGGTCTACGGTTGTTATTATAGGTTTATATTAAATAGCAGAAGTTACATTGTTATAGAAAACATTAAATGAACTTCTGCCTGAGCTGTTTGGTAGGTTAAACAGTTTTCCTCATACACAGAACATTAGATCTGTTATTTTTAAGAGGATACTTTTAAATGAGCATGTCTCCATAATACGCTGAGTTTCAGGTTGTCATCAGCTATAAATGGTTGCTGTGAAACACAATTTAGCCTCCTTTTCAGTTTGAAAACATCAGAATTAGGACACATTGCAGATTTGTGGGGAAACAGGAAGTCTCCACAAGTTGAAGTAAATGAGATCCGCTTCCAGCTTCTTCAATTTCACTCCTTTGTGACGTCATCCAATCCTTTATCTGCTCAAATGAAAAGCATATGATCCTTAGTTGTTCATCTTTATTGGTATTTTATTCATATATTATGCACTGACCACAAAATCTAAGAAAAAAAAGGCAATGTTTAGTGTTTCACCGATACAAGTATCAGGCGGAGCCCCGATCCAGCATTAAAATGGTGGTATCGGTATCGGCGAGCACCAACAAATAGGGCACCGATACCATTTTGAGAGCCAAATGTTTATTCAACTATTGTCACCCATTCCAGTTGGGTAATAAAAAAATTCTACTAGATTCAGTTTGGTATTAGTCTTTTTCCTGCTTCACAAAGGTAGGCAGCAGCTTGACAAAGCTATGATGGCAATTATTTTACATGCAAGTAGTATGCAGTTCTTCATATATACACACACACATCAATTTCAAACAGATGGTATCGGTATCGGCCAATACTGCACAGCCAGGTATCGAGTATTGGGGCCAAAAAATGGCATAGACGCAACACTAGTAATGTTGGTAAAAAGATCTAAAAAGTCTCTTAATCCAGCGTCCAGTGTTCCTGCTATAAATGGTTATTAATTATTTATGGGTTAAGCCTAAAACATGTGCGGAGAGAAATTAGAAGAACTGACTGCGGTAACTTCTGCCACTCTTCAGGAATGCTGCAATAGATTTTCAGCTGTCAGTCATGCTTACCAATAGACCAATAAATGAGAATACTGCACACATTTTATTGATTATTAATAGCTTACATTAATCCAAGATACCTTTTCTTTGAAACTCTCTCCTACCAATAGATAAATAAAATGAAGATAATCGACTGTGTTTGACTTAACAAACTAAATCCAGTTTTCCAAACTTCTTATTTTCATATTTTTTTATTAAGAATTCTTTTAAATTTACTTTTCAACTTTCTAAAAGTCAAATAAAGTAATATCTTTTTTATGCAAAGCCTGATGTATTCTACATATCAGTTTCTCCCTCTCTAATTCTGCTGGATCTGTACTGAAAAGCTGTTTAAGGAATAGATGCCTCCGCTCAGTGTTGTTTTAGGGAAAAATGAGGACCGATTAGAGCGTGTTCTGTTGAAACACAAATTTAAATTCAGTCTGGGTTGGACAGACTATTAGTCACATTGCAGATAAAATACCAAAAATATGCAGCTGCATTTGGGGGAGTGAAAAAAAATTGCTGAGAGGGATCATAATTACTCGCCTGAGACGGTGATGAAGAAGCTGCATCTATCCGATCTGATCCAGGAAGATTTTTACTAATCTAACATTTAAGCTTCTTTTAAATTTACCAAATAGAGCTTTACTTTACAACAGAGAAAAACTTTGTTTTAGCATCGTATTCTTTACCTTTAACACTGGAAAATTGCCCCATTTATCTCACACATTTCTGCCTCTCAACATAAAAAACAGTTTTCAAACTTTTTTTTTTTTTTTCAAATGTGAAATAAATCAAGAAATGCCAGTGTGTGATGGACATAACTGGACGTATGCCTCCAAATCACTCCTGCTTAGCACCTCACCAGTCCTGTGGTACAATACCATTAAAAATGGCCCTTCCCAGTCAAACGCCAGCCGAATGGCAGGCCACATCCCTGCAGCTCCCAGCAAAATCCCCTCCAACTTCCAGCCACTGGCCTTTTCCTGGCGTGCATTTTTTTACTCCGACTCCACCCTTTCACTGAATTACAGGGTCTGACCAGGAGATGATGCTTCTCTTTAGATCTTAATGTCCACAAATCATGACTAAAAGAATATTTTAGTACAAAGATTGATGTTTAAAAAGGAATTGTAGGGGACCAGCCAAGGACCCATCAAGAAGAGTGGGGAAATTTGGAATGGCTACTACTGTAGTAACAACTTTGGTCAGTAAAGCAATATATATATATATATATATATATATATATATATATATATGAAGGCATGTGAGGGGTTATTCTGATACATACTGGTGATGATTGATGTGGTTATTATGTACACAGCTAAGCGTTATGGGTAAAAGCTGCAGAATGGCGGACAGTAATCTTGTGGCTTATTAATGCTGCCCTACTTGCAACACGGAAAAACTAAAGTGCTGTGGATGGGAAAATCTCATCTTCTGTAATATTTCTTTGTCAGATGGGCTACATGTCGGTAGAGACAAACAGTCCCACCCTGCTCCACCTCAAGAGGTCCCCTGGTGTCCGCTCATGGTCTCTTCTTGTGGGTAAGTTGGTGTATCTGAGCAGGCGATCCATGTTCAAACCCCTCCGTATGCTTGGATCGCCTTCTGAATCCTTCACCCTCTGCTCTGCAGGTATAGCATCTGTAGGGCTGGCAGCTGCATACTACAGCTCAGGTATGGAAGCTGAACTTAATAACTTAACCCCTTAAATGTGCAGTATTTGCTCTATGCCTTCATCTGTGTGGCTTCTACAGACAGCATCCCCTGGAAGCTCTTCTACATTGCGGGCTGCCTGTTTGTGGCCCTTCAGAACATGGAGGACTGGGAGGAGGCCGTGTTCGATAAAACCAAAAAACTGATCGAGCTCAAGACAATCAGTTTGTACGCTCTGGTTCTGACGCTGTGGAGGAAAGGACAGGAGACAAGTCAGTGAAACCGCTAATTTTTCAGTGGTTGAGTGGGAATGAGGACTCCATTAGTGTAATGGCACTTAATGCTCTCTCTTTTTTCCAGTTGTTCTGGACCTGGAGCAGCTCTGTGACGTTTGCGTCCAGGAAGAGAAGGTGCGATACTTGGGGAAGGGTTATCATGTGATGCTGAGGTTAGCCGCCGGCATCTCCTACCCCCTCACTCAGAGTGCCACCATGGGAAGTCGCAGGTAGGAAAACCACGCCGTGTTTCTGTATGAAGCGTGCAGGAATAAAAGGATCAAATATAAAACAGAATGATAGGAAAAGTATAACTTTTCAGGTTATCCTGTACACAGACAAACAGATTCTCCTAGAAACATAACCTCCTTGCTGGAGATAACTGAACAATCGGGGGGGAAAAAAACAGCAATTTTAGTCTAAAAATCTTGTCTTTGATGAAAATATTTTTAAAAGTTTAATTTTTGGAGTTCATTCTTTTCAAATTTTTATTTGTAAAATTTGTTTTTTTTTCTTCAAATTTCAATGAAGTAAAGAAATGTACACCTTCGATTCTACCTGAAATCAGTACTGGACGTACAATAAAATAAACAATACATGTTGGAAAAAAAGCTCCAGAACATTTAAATGTATCTATTCTGTTGAAGAGTGTGACACACGTGCACAGCTAAAACATCCTGTTACCAGTGGAGATGTTTAAGGGATTTGATTCTGCTTCAAGTCTCCTCCATAGCATCTCCATCTGGGCTTTGACTTGTCCAAGGAATTTCTTTATTGTCAAGCCTTGATAGATTTACAGGCATGTTTTGGGTTATTGTGCTGCCATAGATCCCAGACTGGCAACAGATTTTCTTATTTTTTTGCTTTATAACAAATAGTCTCACATTTTTATTAAGCATCCTCTGTTCCGCAGAAGGATTCATGGTAGATTTATTAATGGTAAATTTATCCCTTCATCATGACACTTCCACTATGAGCCCTAAAATGACATTTGGGTCTTTGGAGACTTCTTTTAGTATCTTGCTGGCGGCTTTGCTTTAAAAGCCAACCCTGGTAACTTTGGCTTCTCATTTTTTTTTCTCCAGTTTCAGACCAAATAGGGAAAAACATAATGTTTTTATACTTGTTTTCTCACCTTTTCTTCAGCTTAGTTATCCTATCTTTCTTCTAACATAAAAAAAGCCTATACCTCGACATATTTTATAAAAACACACACACTGTCATATGATGTCCCAATCCTTAATCGTCTGGAATTAAGTCAGGAACTCTTAGTCATGGTGTTTTTGCTTGTTGCCTCACAGTGACGTTGAGGAGGTGGCCTCATTGGTGAAGCGCTTCCTGGGTCTGGATGAGATGCAGCGAAAGCAGCAGGAATATGAAGACTATGGAGAGGAGAACGACTCGCTGGGGGACAGCACGGACTCAGAAGAGCAGACAGACCAGCTATGATGGCCGATGTATGCATTCCCAGTGCATCCTGGGATGAAAAGGTTGAATGCAATGCAAAGATATGGCAGAGGTGGAGACTTGCCCTACACATGTATTCCCTCATTTATTTTTCCTTAAATAATGCTTAAATGCTGTGGTTTCCACACAGATTATGTGTTCTGTACTAATTACTGTTTGAGAGCGCATTCAGATTATGGTCCCAGTGTGCCTCCCTGTTGAAGTCATAACAATCATTTGTTTGGGAGATGAAGGAAAGTGCCTTTTCCCACAGTTTTCTGGACCACCCAGCTCAGATCCACCTACTTACATGTTTTCATACTACTGTGTGTCCAACCTGGAGGAACGTAAGCTCAGCCTCAGCCAGAGCAAACCAAAAGCAAACTGTGTGTGGCACGATAACGCCTGTCGATGCTTTATTTTTTATGTTTGAAGCATTTTTTTTATTTGAACCAAAGACTTAAACTCAGGTGATCACATGTATTTCATTATGTTGTTGATTTTACACAATTTTAATGGTTATTGATGTTTAACGCCTAAACAAAAAGAATAAAAGAATTATGCAGAAGTCTTGAAAGTTTTTTTCATTCACTGAATAATTGCTCGACTTTTATATAACTAATAAAAACGTCTGAAGTTTCTCCTTTCCTTCATACTCAATACATACATCAATTTACATAGGAAGGTATAATTTGATTGTAAAAAAGGAAAGGAAATGTCTTTTAGGCTGAAAATAAAGTCCAGTAAAGCTTGATTTCTTCATGGCACCATTTCTTTAATGCATTCCTGGATAGCTTCTGTGATTCGCTGCAGCGGAGCCATTACAGCGCTGATGTGTTCCTCTATCCACTCCTCCACTGTAGAATCAGGATAAAGAGCCACCATTTCCTTTTTTAAGGCCTCTACTTTCTTCTGTAACGTGTCCAAATACCTGAGAAGGAAAGAAGCCCAAACATAAGCTACCGTTTTGCAGAGGCTGCTTTCATATGTTCATGTTCAACTATTTAAAATGGACTCTTACTCGGAAGCCTGCTTGTGAATATGCATGCAGTTTAACGGGTTTACCGTCTTCCTTTGCCTGTGGTAGGGACTGAACCATCCTCGTACAAACCTATAAGAGCAGAAAAAAAAAAAAGAATAGTTCCTCAAATGAAAGGAAGCTCTATAGATTATGGATGTTATGCATTTGAAGCAGCAGCTAAAACACATTTGAATGAAAATAGAAAGATATCAATAAACCTCTAAGGATTTGTAAGATCAGCACTGACTAAAGCAATTGTCACACCATGACGATTTAGACCAGTATATAACACGTACAAAAATTCTGGCAAAAACGCTGGCATGCATTGAATAAAATGCTGCAGCAGTGTGTCGCAGTGAGATTGTCGAAGATATTTTTGATTAATGCCGAATATTGAAGCGTGGTCTGCGCTATGTTATTCCACAACGCCAGAGGGACAATCACCAACTAGCTGTGGGTCTGGATACGGCAGAGGAAGTGGGGGCATGTTTGTACGACAACGGAGGGACATGAGGGTGAAAAATAGCGGGGATCCAGGTGGAAAAAGGGTCCAAGCGTTCTTGAGCACCTCGCTCTTCTAGCAGATCCAACCTCACGAGTTGTTTTCCACAATGGCGGTCATACAAACAAAACAAGCCGGTAAGGTACCAAACAGGAAATACACAGAGTGTAAAGTGGGTATAGATTTAACCAATCAGAGGCCTCCTGTCTGCTGTCACCTAGAATTTTGGAGAGTTGCACCAGAGGGTCTGTGGCAGGGGCGGGGGTGTATTTGCGTTAACTGCGACACACAGACGACCTGGTTTCTGAGTATAAATCAGCATTTAGTTATGAGCACGTTTTGTATAAGTTATGAGCACGCTGAAGTACACTGAAGCACGCTGGCACACGTCGACATATGGCGAGTATGCGGGAGAAACTTTTAGCATGCTCAAAATGCTTCTCGTGCTCGCTGCTGATATATACCAGCGTGTGATCATACCTGGGGCATAAGTTACAGGTAAGTTATCTGATCATCAACATATGTTAAGTATAAGTTACTCATAAGTTGTGGTGTCTAGCTAACCCAAAACCTCTGAGTAACTTCTGCATAAGTTATACGTAACTTATCAAGAATTTATCTCCAACGCATATCAAAGTATTTGTGTTTCAGACGACCGCTGAACCTCTGTTTCTAACTTACAGCTACTGTATAATGGCGTATTGGCAGCATTTTGGTATAAAGGGGGTTCACAGGAGGAAACCGTCAGTTCTCCTCCAGACTTCATCCCCATCATTGGGTGAGTGAGACAGTGAGTGTGATGGATCCTCCCTGGGTTCACGCCCACGACCAACAAACTTCCTAGCAGAATTTGCTGCTACTGCAAACCTTCTTTCTTTTAATTTATTCTTTTTTTGGGCGGGCGGTAAACAGCAGCTAGGTTAATACCGTGATCAAAGACATCTTTCTATGCAGGCCGGGTGCCTCCGGCCGCATCGCTGCCCCCCTCAGGACACTGGCTTGTGCATCGTATTATGGGCATTACGCTGCTGTGCGTTATGCTTAAGTTAGGCTGTCGTTGGACATAAGTTCTGGACTCATTGTGAATACGCTATGTATACACCCAAAATTTAAAAAATACATGGAAAGTTCAGTGTAAGCCAGCATTTTAGGAGATTCTGGGACGTCGGGCATACGCTGGCTAAATCGACAAGGTGTGACAGGGCCCTAAAGCAATGCAGGTAGAAGTAGTAGAAGTGCCTTTAGATTTATGAATAGATATTAGCAAATATGCTATTCTCAGACCTGTGTTCAGATTGAAGAAGTAAATGGAAAGCTGCATATGAAGCCATCACAGTAGTTTCCAGATCAGTGTCATCTATTTTAATTTCAACTTAAAAGTTTTTAAATAGTTCCCACTGTTTTGGAAAAAAGAGCTAATTTCAGCTCAGATTTATTAGTTTTAAACCCCAGTTANGCAAAAATGAAGCAGCAGACGCGATTTTGCTGCTTTTGCTGCCCCCGGTGTGAACGCAGCATAAGTTACTCATAAGTCGTGGTGTCTAGCTAACCCAAAACCTCTGAGTAGCTTCTGCATAAATTATAAGTAACTTATCAAGAACTTCTCTCCAACGCATATAAAAGTATTTGACGTGTTTCAGACGACCGCTGAACCTCCGTTTCTAACTTACAGCTACTGTATAATGGCGTATTGGCAGCTTTTTGGTATAAAGGGGGTTCACAGGAGGAAACTGTCAGTTCTACTCCAGACTTCATCCCCATCATTGGGTGAGAGAGACGGTGAGTGTGATGGATCCTCCCTGGGTTCACGACCACGACCAACAAACTTCCTAGCAGAATTTGCTGCTACTGCAAACCTTCTTTCTTTTAATTTATTCTTTTTTTTTGGGCGGGCGGTAAACAGCAGCAAGGTTAATACCGTGATCAAAGACATCTTCTTATGCAGGCCGGGCGCCTCCGGCCGCATCGCTGCCCCCCTCAGGACACTGGCTTGTGCATCGTATCATGGCCATTATGCTGCTGTGCGTTATGCTTAAGTTAGGCTGTCGTTGGACATAAGTTCTGGACTCGTTGTGAATACGCTATGTATACACCCAAAATTTTAAAAATACATGGAAAGTTTAGCGTAAGCCAGCATTTTAGGAGATTCTGGGTAGATGCAGGTAGAAGTAGTATAAGTAGTAGATATTAGCAAATATGCTATTCTCAGACCTGTGTTCAGATTGAGGAAGCAAATGGAAAGCTCCATATGAAGCCAGATCAGTGTCATCTATTTTAATTTCAACTTAAAAGTTTTTAAATAGTTCCCACTGTTTCGGAAAAAGGAGCTAATTTCAGCTCAGATTTATTAGTTTTAAACCCCAGTTCAAATTAAAGCTGATATTACTTTGGTTTAGTTTATCAATGCTTGCTGGGCCGTCCCAAAGCTGTTGGGCTGTGGGATATTTATTCCCAGAGCTACATTAGCTTAACAGGATACTAAATAAAAAAAAAAAAAAGATGATCAAAGCCTTTATTTACATTTGTTATGAGCGCCACAGTTGGACGCCGAAAGACCAGAGGTGCTACTTAAGAGTTTGTTTTTTTTAGCCATTACTTTAATGGATTATTGCAAAGATGTCTCTCTAATGGCAGTCATCAAAACAATCTTAGTGATTTAATCAACTCGCCTCTACATGCTTTAGTTCTTCTGAAGGAATTTGACAATATTCCTTCTGAGACAAATAAAACTTGACCTTGTTTGATGAGAAACAATACTGTTGTTAAACTTACATATTGCTTTCAAAAAATCTGAAATCTTCTGAGTCGAGCAGTGAATTTATCTCCAGGATCAACTCTGCCAGCTTCCTTCCTGGGAACAGAGACTCATCCGCAGAAGCTCTGAAACCCACAGAGAGAAAAACTTCAAAATATTTCCGACCTCGTGGTTTGCTAAAGCAGCGGTGGTCCTGACCTCTCCATGGCTTCAACCTCCACTGAAGATACTCCCAGCGTCTCTGTTACTTTTCTGTTCGCCTCAGTGCTGAATTCACCGTGGATGAGAGTCTGCAGACAGGAAGCCAGCGAGGGGAGAGCAACAGGAAGTAGCTCACACAGAACTGACAGGTGGTCATACCTGTTGGCAGAAAAAAAAAAAAGGTATGTCTGCTTCTGTCTCCTTGAACCCCAGTTGGCCTCAGCAGATGGCCGCTCACACTGAGCCTGGTTCTGCTGGAGGTTTCTTCCTGTTAAAAGGAAGTTTTTCCTCTCCACTGTCGCTACAAGCATGCTTAGTGTGAGGGATTGCATTGGAGTCAATGAGTCGATGCAATCATCTGGTTTTCCTTAGATAGAAAACTGAATCAATTTGACTGGATGATGTGGTTGAATTTTCTCTGTAAAGTGACTTACGATGATATGTGTTGTGAAATGGTGCAATATAAATAAACTAAATTGAATATAAAAAAACTAATTAATGAAATTACTGAGGACTTTCTCATTTTCATTCATACTTAAACATATTTCATGATGTACATCCTCCCTCATATTACAGATCGATATAATGGAGTTTGTTATTGTGAACTATAAGGGACAAGATGTGTTTCCTGAAATTGTAAAATGTTAGCAGAACTCAATCTTTCTTTTCTAGAACCTTTTGCATTAGCTTGCTGTGCACAGCTTTCCTCTAAACATCTGTCAATTTTTAGCAAACAGATCAAACTCAGACAGGGTGAAGAGTGTCTGAACATCAATCTCCACACTTTCTCATTTGATTTAAGGTGAGAACTTTGACTAGGCCGTTCCAGCACGTCAAAATGCTTTGAGCAAAACTAATCCATTACATCTCTGGCTGTTTGCTAACCACATTTCTTCCTATTGGACCGTTGACCTCCACTTCCATGCTTAGGTTTTACCGTGTCTGAATCTGCTGCAAACATCTCAGAGTCTCCCTCAGCATGATGCTCCCACCACCCTGTTTCACCATGTGTTCCATGGAGTGTTAATTTTTCCTCCACATATAGTTTTGCAATCGTTGAATTGTTGTAATATGTAGCATCTTTTTTTTACTTACTTAAATTACTTCTTATTCATCTAATTTTCATTGTTTGTATCAATTTTTATATTTGTCATCATTGTTTTTCTTAATATTTGGCATCATCTTTTTTTATTTTAATTAACATCTTATTGATCTATTTTACATTTTCTATTTTTGTTTTTAATTCATATTTTTAATATTATTATAGTATCATCTTATTTGTTCTTTTCTTATTTTATGTATTTTTTATTTGGCATCATCTTTTTTTAAATCACTTTCTATTCAACTACTTTACAATTTTTGGTTATTTTCTATTTTAGATTTGGTTTAATCTTTTTTCTTATTTAATTCACTTTTTATTCATCCATTTTTCTTTTTTGTCATTTTTTATTTTGAATCATCTTTCTTAAGTTTATTTCATTGTTATTGATTTATTTCTCTTTTTTAGATTATTTTCTACTTTCTATTTTTTATCATTTCACCAGAGCTCTTTATGTTTCTCGTGGCACCTACATGACTTCTAACCAGGTGTGACTGTTTCAGTTGATTTAAGTCAGTTTTTTCTGCAGCTCCTACAGGATGAACCGATTTTCAAAGTTTGGGAATCCTGATTTAAAGGTCACTATAACCAAACAGGTTATCCCTCTGTGTTCATGATGCAGTTATTACCTCAACCTAATCACTGAGACTATCCCAGATTATCTGGATCTCTACTGAGACTAAAACACACCCAGATGGACTCTATTGTTCTAGAATACTGAACTCTTTGTTGGACTGGATCTCTTTTAGGAGTATTAAAGGAAAGTGTGACTACTTTTTATTTGTAAAGGCGTTTAAAAAATCATGTTACCTAATTATTATTTCATTTCTGAAATAAAAAGCTACTCACTGTTAGCCTATGACATAAAATTCCACTCAGACGCATTGATGTTTTTGCTTCTTGACAAAACAGAAGTTCTAACCTTCTGATTCTTACCTCTGCCAACCTGTGATGGCCATGCCCCTCATGTTAATGGCAGCAGGCAGAGAGGCCGCCACCTTCAGCCACTGCAGGTGATTATCCACGTGTCTCTGTGTGCAGGTCACGCAGGTGTGAACGAAAGTGGAACCTTTGAAGGAGCTGGCTGCCCACAGGTCGGACATGCCGGCACCGTGATACTTCTCCAGCAGAGACACTGAAAACAGACAGGAACCCGTTGATCACAGCCCTGAGGAGCAGGATGTTTAAGCGGGATTAAGAACACACCCAAGAAACAGAGCAAACTTAAAGGAAAATAGTAGACGATTATTAAAGAGGGAAAGTTGCATAATCATCGGCCTCAGCTGGCCAACTATGAGGCAAAGGAATGGTGTGTGCTTGTAGACGATAGTGCTGCAGCAGTGTCCTACTAAAAGCTAGCCTGCAGATAATCAGACCACAGCTGTTTCCTGCTAATGTTGGTTAACAAGATTAGATGTTTAAAGTAGGGAAGAAGTGTTTACTTCTACAAACTCAAGGCTGCTATGCTGCCGATAATGACAGCCTCTGTATTTCTCTATATTTAAATCCCAGTAAAAGTATGCATGGACTGGCAGCTAAAGTCCTTTCATCTAGATTAGGAATCTGCAAAGTTTAAGTCCTCTTTGGATTTCCAGAGTGACTATGGCTAAAAACCAACAAAGAACAAATTATATATTCTGAATATTGATATAATAACACCATGTTTTTTCAGGTTTGTAAATATTTTTCGTTAAATCATTTTAACACATTTCCAGAATGGAATGACAGTGAAAGCAGAAAGCAAGATCAAATTTTCTTCTGATTGGTTCATTGCCTCCAGTGCAAAGCAAAACAGCATCGCCTTTCAAAGGAACATGAAGTAACTCTTGAATGCTGACAGGTGGCCTTTTACAGGCAGGGAAGAACCGTGTCCTGAGTGGCAGTAATCCAGGGGTATTCAAAGTTTTCCAGGCCAAGGACCCCCAAACTGATGGCGAAATGGAGCGGGGACCCCCTAATTATATATATTGTATGAAATTGTGTTCCCTTCGCATTGTGCGTGTGGAAATGCTTTTACTTTCAGTATTAAACATAGCCCTGAGATCTACTGTTGTTTTTCTTGATTTGATCTCACCACACGTTTAACTGATCACCGATCTTGATCATTCAGGATTTTTTTCCGGCCACATTTCTTCCTTGAAGATGATGGGTCCCCACTATCCTTCCAATTTTTAATAATGCGTTGGACAGTTCTTAACCCAATTATAGTAGTTTCTGCAATCTCTTTAGATGTTTTCTCTGCTTGATGCATGCCAATGATTTGACCCTTCTCAAACAGACTAACATCTTTTCCACGACCGCGGGATGTGTCTTTCGACATGGTTCTTTAGGTAATGAGAAGCGAGTTTTTAAAAAAAAAATTTTTTAAAAAATTTGCCTTATCCCATTCTCTAGCTTTTTCTCCGCCTCGAGCTTCTTTTCCGAACGTACGGCTTTCGATCAAACAGAAGCAGCTCCACGCAAACACGCAGAACCAGTTATATCTGATACATCTGATGAAAATAAAGCATTTTAAATGCCACGGTAGTCAGATTTAGTGAATTTTAATGCTAACTAAGGCCTTAATTTATGAAATAATAGTTTAATGACTTTTAACGATTTTTAATGACCCGTGGAAACCCTGTGTTGACTGTAGACTGACAGACAAAGTAGTTAAGACTTTCTCCTTTTTATTCATACATTAAAAAGGAGTTGATAAAGTTTTAAAGGTTATTCTTTGATGTCAACTCTGACTTGGTGTTTTTTCCTTTATTGTTTTTCTGGCGCAAATAACGAAATGAAGATACTTCATTGGAGGAGAACCAGCTGGAGTCTCTTACCAGTTTTATCCACATCCAGGTTTGGGGTGTAGTCCCACAACATGGGCTGCACAAGTCCTACTAGACCGCTTGCTGTCATAGGGGAGGCAGAAAAATAAAACCAAGAAGAGTTTAAGTTAAGATTTAAACTAATAAGCAGAATATTAGAATTTCATATGTCAGTGATTGTAGCTGATGAACCTTTCAGTGTGTCCTGGCTCATGCCTCGCATCATATCATCCCACATTATGATATTCATGTCAGGCCACGCCTCTTTAATAGCCTTGGCAACCTTGTTCACATGACTAAGGAAAAGCTGTTCAACTGTACCACCAGTTGAGTCCAGCCAAAGTTTGGAGTCCTCCCCTTCTCCAAGGGTGTAAACCTTAAAAATATTTAAGACAAGAAAACATCTGAGATAAAAACACAGACCTTAAAGCCACTAAGCATAGAAACACCCCTACCTCATCTGCTCCTATGTGGAGCGTTCTTAGACCTGGATGCAGATCAACCACCTGCCTCAGCATCTCCATCACCAGCTTGAAGCCTTCCTCTTTGTGGGGATTAAGGGTTCCGACGCAGAGCGGGACCTCTCTGAGGTGCCACAGCGACCGATGCTTCAACACAAACTATGTGAAGAGAAACATGCAGCTTCGAAAAAACATGACTTCTTTAAGAATTTACAGAAACAATGTGCAGGTTTTTAGCATACCTCCATATGTCCAAAGGTCTGCACAAGTGGGATCACCTCCATGCCCCTTGCTTTGGCAGATTCCTGAATGGACATCACCTCCTCTCGGCTTAAATTAAACCAAATGAAAATCAGCTGCTTCGGATGTTATCGTCACATTAAATGGCGATTTTTCAGAGGTTATCAGTTCCATAGAATGGCTCCAGATTCTGCCTCCTACCTACCAGTAGGCTCAGTAGGCTGTTATCGCCATATGAATCCTAATCCTAAACAGAGTCGTAACCAGAACATTTTAATAATGGTGGCCAGGCAATAACCAATGTAAACTGAGGAGTGGCCGAAAATCGGATTGGCACCAGAACCTCAGGGTCAATCTAAACTCTTCCAACAGGAAAACTAACAAGCAAAACATCCATATTTTCTAAATAAAGACAAACTATACCTTTCTACAGCCTTTTGATTACAAATAGACACATATATTTCAACATCCGTGCTTTCTAGATAAAAGGTATAGTGGATAAAATTCTTTCAGGTTTTAGTTCTGGGGCGTAAATCTTTTCCCTTGTCATTACTTACCTACTTGTATCAATAAACATTCTGCATAAAAGTGATATTTACAAGCATTAATATCTACATAAATTGATTATTTGATAACTTTTATTAATATTGTTGTTTATCTATGATTTCACTAAAGACTCCCAAATGACTTGCAGAGACACATCATTTTCTCTTTACCCCATATAAGACAAAATCTAGTTCTGAGAAGAGCAGGAATTCTGTACTTATCATCTTTGATGTTAGTATATTGATGTGTATAATTAACCACAAAAAAATAAAATGTTTTGAATATTCCACTTTGGAGTATTAATGCTGTATTAGAGGACAAAAAAAATGGCAGGGGTGGCCATAGATTGGCTAAGGGTGGTCATGGTCCCCCCCTGGCCCCCCCATCTAGCTCCGCCCCTGATCCTAAGGTAATTCGGTTTTTCTTTTTTTGTAATGGCATTAGTGGCTTGTTTTTTCGACAGTAAGCTAACAGGAAAGGGTCCTTTGACATTCGCCAAGGGACCACAGGTCATCTGAGTTGAGCACTAATGCCTCCGTACATGGGTCGTAAGCGCTAACCACTGCGCCCCCTGCGCAGAATTCATTTTAAAAAGTTGATCAACTTGTCGCTCATATTGAACAACCCCTCCACAAAAAAATATCATATCCTGTCATCTGAGTTGTTTTTAAACACCACATTAAACCCGTTTTGACTGAAAAATTTGAATTTCATTAAAAAAATGCTGCTTTTCTTTATAGATAAAAAGTATAAAGTAGGAAACAGAAAGTGAAACTTCATTTTTCAGATGTGGCCAAAACGGCTATTAGCAAAAATAAGCTGCATTTTATCAGCCTTAAAAACCTACTAGAAGGTAGAGGAGGCGCAGTCTGAAGCCATATGGGACTGATAACCGCCAATAACGGCCATCTAGTTAAATCACATCCCAAACGGGATCAGCCGGGTGATTGTGATGGAGATACTTAATACTGTTCAGCAGACTTTCACTCGCCTTCTACTTTTAATTCAACCTACAGCAATAAAGGAATAAATAATATAACAAAAACTTTTTTTGATAATTGTTCAACAACAAAAAAAAGTCAAAAGTAGAGCAAAACTGTAAGAAAAAGGGAAAGTTTTCAAATCATTTTATCAGTAAAATATCATCAGGAATGGGAATAGCAGGAATTTCAATATCCCGCCCCCTATAGAGACAACTGTGACTTAATCTAAAACCGTCTATCTCTCAGAAAATCATCTTTTCTGTGATACTGGGAGAGAAATAAAACACATTCTAACAAGAAAACTACTTTACTGGACATAAAACGATCGATAGCTATAATGCAAATGCTTAGATTAAAGGATATTTATGAGTTAAAATAACCAAATAAGAGCACAACTCTAAATCCAAATTATAAAAAATTAAGTTTGATTTGTAAAGTGACAAATTTCATTTTTCTTTACTGTAACCTAAAAAAAGATTAATTTATTCATTGTTTATACAGGAATGAGTAACTCTAAGTTAATGCTTTTTAATGTTCTTAGAAATAATTTCAATGCCATCACAAGTATCCATGACTCTCATATATATTTTTTGTTTTCCAGCCACTTTTGTTGAAATGTACATGTCCCCACTCTCTAGCTTTTTCTCCGTCTCGAGCTTCTTTTCCGAACATACGACTTTACGATCAACCGGAAGCAGTTCAACGCAAACATATTTGGATATAATATATCTGACGAAATTATTTTATGAACTTTTTTTTTTTTTTTAAATAAAGCATTATAAATGCCACCATAATCACATTTAATGAATTCTAATGCTAATTAATGACCCAGGGAAACCCTGTTATTACAGAGGATTATTGCATTTCATGTTAAATGAAAGTTGTGTGGATTCAGTGACATCATCCGTATGTTACTCACAGCAAAAAATTAAATATAAGCAAGTTTATGTTTGTTTTTTGAATAAGTGTCTTATAAGTGTTTTCCCTGGTATTTAGAACTTAAGACACTTTGTCAATGGAACAAGATAATTTAGGTTTAAATTGAAAGAAGGAGAAACGTCATTATCTTATTTCAATTGTATAATACCACATTATTTTATTTTAAATGTAAAAAATACTTATTCCATTTGCTTATCACAGTATTTAGCTGCTCAAGTGTACTCATTTTTCTAATTTACATTTTCCAATATTTTATTTTCATCGATCTGCACCTGTAAGCGGGATGCGCTGTAGCTTGCAGGAGCTTCAGCTCTCCGTCATAAGGAAACATGTCCTCATACTCCACCAGCAGGCCGTCAGCACCCAGCCGAGAGAAGAGCTCGATCAGCTGAGAACCAAAAAGAAAATCAAAACACAAACTGTGAGCAGGAACCACCAAGCAGGTAGCAGGAATCAGAGGAAAGAGAGAAAGATCACCTTATGAAGGTACCCGATCCGTGGTCGGGCGCCTTTCAAATCTAGGTGGACAAGTTTCTTCCCTTTAGGCCACGGAGGACTCATTCTACAGACAGCTGAACAAAAGGCATTAGTTAGCAAGAGCTGAAGGGGATCCTGGTCTTTTTAGCACTTCACCAGTGAAAACTTGACTTATTCATGGAGTGAATAGAAACAGGACAGCTCATATCTGCCAGGGAGACTCCCCTTCAAAATCCCATTCAACACATTTCATTCAATGGTTACGTCCTGTTTTCATGTTGTGTACATGGAAACAATTTGATGAATTTACCTTGCAATGAATTTGCAAACAAGAATATGTTTGAAAATCAACTTATTATTACAGGGGCTGGTTATTTTATCCTTTTAACTATTTGTACCATTGTAGTTGGTGATGCCTTACTCAACTCTTTCAGGTGTTAAAACGTCCTTTTCTAAAGGCAACTATGCTTCATAAAGGCTTTACCACCCAACGATGAAACAATCTACTTATCTCCTATTATCAGAGGTGGCTAGTAACATGTTAGTTCAATTATAAAAAACCAGGCCTCTGCTGAGCTAAATGAGGGGATTGAGGTTTTAAAATCAGGTGTGCTAGAGAAGAGGAGCATCTAAAAGTTACAGGATGGTGGCTCTTGAGGACTGGACTTGAGCAGCCATGATTTACTCAGTATTTGAGCAGCCTTCTTGTTGGGGTTTGGTTGAGGTTTTGAGGACCTAGAGGCAGAGGTGAGTTCTTGTAGTTTTAATTGAGTGTTAACAGGTAACAGAGCAGGAATCAAAAAATCCAACTTAAAAATGCAAGAACCAGAACCATGGAGACATCAGAGAAGACATGCACTAGAAGCGGGGAAAGACAAGGAACCAGCACTGAGGAACTGCATAGGGAGAGTATTTATGGCTGACTGAACAAAGACAGGACTAAAGGGCTGGTTATACTCCCCGCAGCAGTGTGTCGCAGGGAGCTTGAAGAAGACAATTTTGATTTATGCTAAATATTGAAGCGTGGTCTGCGCTATGTTATATTCCATGCCACAATGCCAGAGGGACAATCAGGAACTAGCTGTGGGTCTAGATACAGCCGAGGTGGTGAAGAAGGGGGGGTGAGTTTGTCCGACAACGGAGGGACATGAGGGCGAAAAAGAGCGGTGATCCAGGTGGAAAAAGGGTCCCAGCGTTCTCGCGCTAGCTGGTCCAACTTCACGAGTCGTTTTCCGCAATTGCGGTCATACACACAAAACAAGCTGGCAAGCGGATGTAGATTTGACCAATCAGAGGCTTCCTGTCTGCGGTCACCTACGATTGGGAGTAGATGTGAACAGAGGGTTGTAGAAAGGAGCTGGGGGAAAAGGACACTACAAGAGGGCAACAAAGAAAAACCTAAGAACTCAAATACATCCATAAAAACACAACAAAATTAACACAATAAAACAAAGAAAACATGAATCAACGTGAAACTAAAAACTCAAAGAAAACTTAACAGAACAAAGACAATAAAACTTCTAACTAAATACCTTTTTAACTAATTAACGTTTAATTATTTCGTGGTGGGCACTTTTAATCTTTTTGGTGCCTGCTCTAAGGAAGGCTCTGGGACTCCAGTTACTATTATCCACTGCAGCTGGATCTGTAGCACATGGAGGGACTGAAGAAAAGTTTTGATCTAAGATGGCTTAGTTAATGAAAACAACGCAAGAGTTAAAGGAATGAGACTGAAATACAAAATAGTTAATGGGAAAAAATTTATTTGAATTTATATACTTCAATTGACAACTTAGAAAGATCTGCTCACAGTCTAATGCAATGAAATATATCTCATTCAGTTTAATAACATCTGGATTAGGGGATAGTCTATAAGGTCCTTAACTGTCATGTTTAATGGGTTGCAATACAACGTTTTATTAAAATCAGACAAATTAAACTAGATCACACAGAAAATTGACCTTTTAGCCTGACTGCATACATAAAAATATGTATCCCCAATTCATCATTAAATATATTTTTGCGGTTGATTTTTTTTTGCAATGATCCAAGAAAGGTAAAAAAACAAATCAAACAAATAAAATTGTTTTAAAATCCTGCATAAGAAATGATGATTTTCACGACAGCAAAAGGAAATAGACCGATTGGAACATGCGCCACCTAATAATGTTTTTTTTCCCCCTTTCATTAGAGCCTACCTTGTTAGGTGACACCTGTAATAAAAGCTACCAGGACAGTTCTCAGAGGTAGCGATGATAAAGTTCCAAAATCACAGGGAAATGGGGAAATTTGAACGATTTAAACTGAGCCGAAGGGCAAGAAAGCAGCTTTCAGTGGTTGTAAAGTCTGTTTGGTTCCTGCAGCTGTAAAGGAAGTGCTCCCTACGTGGACCAATGGAAGCGACGCTTTCATTTCGGGATTAGCCAATAGCGTGCGCTGACAGGATGGTAACCGGAAGTGTGGAGCTCCTGACTGCGTTACGAGCTGTTGGCGGGGTGTGTGCTGCGTGTCAACGAGCAGCTGGCAGTGGATGCTAGCTCTGAGGCGAAATGGCTCTGATACGACTGAGGAACCCAAAGGGCCCCAATGCAGCAGAGATAGAGAGGAAAATTAAAAGGTAAGTTGATTAAACTGAACTAACGTCCAAATGAAAGGGGCCTGGAGAAGTGGAATGGAGCAAAAACTCCAGTTTTGGACGATAAAAGAAGTTTCCCACGTCAGCCTGATGGCCTTCATTTTTAATAATAAGCAAAATAAAAAAAAGGTTTTATAACAAACTTCCAAGTTTGACAAGTAGTGCTTTCACTTACTGTAGCCTGAAAGCCACAGATTTACATGCCTTTTGTTTGGCAAATCAGAGGCGTAGCTAGCAAAATTTAATAATGGTGGCCAGGGAATAACTAATGTACACTGGGGGGTAGCAAAAAGCTAGTAAAATCTAGTTTTGAAATGAGCATGATTTCCTTATTTATCATCTTTAATGTTAGTATATTGATGTGCATAATTAACCACAGTGTTTTTGTTGTCAAGAAACTTAACATATGAAATATGGCCCCCTATTAAGCTCCACCCCTGGGGGGACAAACACAAAAAGTCTTTTTGTGTTTGTCCCCCTTTACTCCGATCCCCCTGAATACAATCCAGCTCAAATGATGCGGTTCAAAGCCAACCTGTGCCCCTTGGGGAGGCTTCACATGTCTGAAGACATCAGTGATTAAAGCCTCATAAGGGCTGTGAATCACAGCAGACAGCTGAGAGAAAGCAATCCCCCAGACTTTGACTATACCATCAGAGAGTGTAGGTCTTTGCATGAACTTTTAGGTTCCAGCAGCTAAAAGTTCATCGGGCTTCTGTGACGGATCGGGTAGTGACACGTGAACTGACTCAAACCCAAAACAACATGGATTCTTACGAACATAAACAGCAATTAATTTTCATTTTGATAGCTGGGTAAAATATCACCATATATAGTGATATCATCGTGAGACGTATTGTATCACAGCACCCATGCCATGTATTTTTTTTTTGTACTGAAATGCATTATGAACTGTTTTTTTACTTTAATGTCTGATCCCAACTTTTCTTTTTTTCTGTCCTGTTTAGAGGAAACGCTCTGAGACAGGGCTCCTCATGGCGGGGCTCTCAGGGGATCCTGCTCCTGCTTCTGGTTACTTTGGGTTTATGTGCCGTTGCTGTGTGGCTTTACTTGGCTGCCTTGGATAGTGACATCACAGAGACTCTGGTCAGCAGCAGGGAAACAATCTCCCCTCAGCCCGTCGTCTACGACGTCCAGTGCTCTGAGGACTACGAGAACTACAAACGCTATCCAGGTGAGGTGCTTGTCTGTGCAAACATTGGTCAGGGTCACCTTTCACAGCATAATGTTGAGTTAGAATGAATGTTTTAGTTCATTTACACATTTTATCTCTGGGAAACCAAAGATATTTACAAAAATAAAAAAGTCTAGCCTAGAACAACTTCTAGTACCGCTATGCTGGATTATTACTTTCTTTAGATGAGCTAGGATAAGTTATTGTTTTGTTTCTTTTGGGAGACATTTTTCTTTTAACATCGGGTGAGCTGCAATACAGCAAGGACTTTAAACAGAATTAGTAATAAGGAACAGTAAATACTTGAAAAACACAATAATGAAAGTATGTACTAGTTTATATACACTCCCACCTCCTCGGAGGCTCCTGTTTCTCTGTTTAGGCCCTGTTTGTGGATCAGGCTGATGGTGTTTAAGGCGATTGTATTTACACTGAACCCAAAATGACCTGTTTCAGTTCATGAGGACACGTTCTGCTGAACAGCCTGTTTCAGGTCACCTCACAGCATTCTGTGACACCTAGATCTAGGCTTTGGCTAAGACCTGAACTTCCATTTCCTAATTCTCAACCAGTCCTTAATGGATTGACTGCCTGGTTCTGGATCATTGGAAACGTCCAGTTTGGCTTCAGATAGGCTCTCAATTTCCTGAAACCTGGTAGATCCTGAATCTACCCTGGAAGATCATATGGAAGGTGGAAGATCACGATTTATCCAACTTTTATGTCTGGTTCTATGAGGTAATTTATCAAGGAAGCCAAACATGTCCTCTGATGGGACGTTTAAATAATTCAGCTCAGACTTCTCCGTTTGAAGAGCAATCTTCCAGAAATCAGTTTTTTCTCTGCAAATTTAGATCCCTGCTTTATTTTTCTTACTTAGCAAAGGTTTGCTTCTGTCTTATTGAACTGGTACAGACATTGTATTTCACATTAACCTTTGAAAGAAGCTACCAAAATGTCTTAAATTTATATTATTATTTATATTTAAGGGTTTTTTTTATTTATTTTTTAAGCTTCTTTCAGTTTGTTTGCATTGAGAAAATGCTTTGACACTCTGACCTGAGTGTGTTAGCAGTGGTTTGGTAAAGGTTTCAATTTTTAGACAATTTTCTGTTGGCAGGTTTTGAATTTTTATGTCATCTTTAAATTCCTTACCAGACTTGTCTCCTTTCGTCTTATTACTAAATCCTTCAATCGTGTTCTCTCTTCCTTTGGCTGTCAGCAGCACAATAAACTCAGTTCCTGATGTGAAAAAAGGGCAACCTTCCTTCTAAATGCAAAGTAATGATGTTACAATCATAAATTTATACACTTTTTGTAAGATTAGTCGGAAATTGTTAAAAACCTACCATCTGTATTGTATTAGTTGGCACTATTGGCTCTGAATGTCACCATTAAAGTTAGGGCTGAAACAATCAGATTAATCCTGATTAATTGATTATCGAAATGATCATCAGCTAATTTAGTAACTGATTAATTGTTAACTGGAGTGTAGAGACTCTAAAACATGCCTTTAGCTGACAGAGCGACCCATGGGGCCGTGGGTTTGATATGGTGGTCCATAAAGACTCACTGGTTGAAATTGTGATTCATTTACATTTATAAACAGAAAAAAACAACTTGTAAAAAAACAAAACAAAAAAAAAAACATGAGTTGCAGCATTATATTTCCGTTTAGGATCAACAGACAATTATTTTTTTAACTAAACTTAAATGAATTGAGCTCTGTTCTCATTTACCCCTGTCCTCTTTCATGTGTTTTACTGGATTGATTCTTCTCAGAATCATTTCACTTCGACTCTATGAACTCTATAAAGCGAACGAGAGGGGAAGGTCATTATAGTGAGGTTAGATTTTCTTTTTTTAATAGATTTATGTTTACAAGAACCACAAAATGTATACCTTAAGTAAATCTAATAGATTTTTCGTTATAGTCTAGCTATAACCAATATTCAGCAATATATTGATGAAGATTCTCAGTCATCCAGGTCAAAGTCATTCCAAAAAAAGAAAGTAAAAAAAGAAAATCCACTGGACTTTGTTTCCAAGTTTGAAGACATTTCGTTTCCCATCCAAGACATTTTGAATTTTCAATTAAAAATGTCAAGATTAGCATTGAGTTTGAGGTTTTATACAGTAGCCCAACAAAGTCTTGTTTTTGTTTTAAAAACATGCAAATTAGACCCCTTCGTCCAATTCAATTTGCATGTTTCCTTTTTTTGGATCCACCAAAATACTTTCATGAGAGTGTTTATTTAATGGCTATAGCAGCTGAAGGCAACAAAATGGACCAAACAACTTCACGGTAAAGGGGAGCAAAGTTAAGATCAACTTCTGTTCAGCTCAGTTTATTCTTCAGAGATCTTATTGAAATAAACTAAACTAATCAACATTTTTCACAATGTCTGAAAGGACAGAAGAAGAAGTTTATTTCATTCATCTTTAAAACATTTTAGTATGAATGAGCTGACTGACTGCTAACATCAATACCCTGTTCAAAAAGGGCCGCCTCCTCCTGAGGAGGCTGAGGTCCTTTGGAGTGAGCCGCCTCCCTGGGAGCCTCCGCCCTCCTGTACGCTGTCCTCTGCTGGTTTTTGATCAACAGTGATGAGCTTCCTTTCAAGGATAGGATTTTAGATTTCTTTTCTTCAAAATTTTTTTATGTTCAATAAGTTTTGAACAATCTTTTATTTCCGTATCTATGTTTTTTCTGTGTTCAACCCAACAACGCTGCTCATCCTTTACGCTTTAAAAAACAACATGTCACTACCTTTAAACCAATCCCAGGTCGCTTCTTTAAGTTATAAATAAATTGTAAAGTTTTACATTTAACAATGTCCCTAAATTTTAAAGCTTTTATTCTTAATAAAAACGTCTTATTCTCGTTAATATAAAAATATGTTGTGATTAGTGGCAGACAAATGCAGATTCCTTGGGCTGCCATAGTTTAATCTGACATCAGTTCATCAGTTTCTGTTCTTAGACGTCTCATTTTAACTTTTAAACCAGCTCAGTAGTTAATACCATTAGATTCAAACATTATTTTTACATTTAATAGATTGTTGTGAAACCTGATTGTTTTACAGCGAGTTTCGTTACCCTTTAAATTAAGGCTACCTCCCAGAGCGTATGATTAAAATCAGAGCTAGTGTAAGAGCCAATTTGAGACAAATTCATTTATAATTGTAAAAAGGTTAAAATACAACATTGATAAATTTTTGTTGTTAAGAATATAGTTTAAGTTTAAAAACTCTAATATTAAAAGCATAGAATATAGAAATGCAATTTGAAATGCATGTTTTTGGGCTTCCTGCATGTCGTAATTTTATACATGTATTTTTCTTTTTTTGGTTGCTCGTACTAAATAACTGAGGGGAAAACGGATATGCTGAAAGCTACACAGTTTTTGACTGAGTTTATATTATGAGAATGTGGATGTTCTTTTATTTTTGTTTTCTTTTATTAAACATCACAAGTTGAAGAATATTATCTGGTCTTGCTCGCGTTTTTCCAGGCGGCACAGAA